AAACAACATGGAGGTATCAATTTTCCTCTTTCAAATATAAAAAATATTAAAAAGGCTTATGCTTAATATTTGTGAGAGTTTGAGGGAAAAATGCACTCTTAGAAGTTGTCAGGTTGTGAGGTTGTCAATGAGTACAAGCTTTCTGGATTGAGGTGCAATTTGATAATAAGTGTCAAAGGTCTTAAAAATATATCACTTGATCTAGAAAAGTGTATTCATAGGAATTTATCCAAGGAAATAATTGGACAAATAGGCAAGCACAGGGTTTATTGCAGCATCATTCCTATTAACAAAATTGTCCGTCAATGTAAGTTAAAGCACATTTACATACTGAAGTACTGCACATCTTAAAAACAATAATTTTGATCTATTTTTTCCCCATGGAACAATATCTAAAATACATGCAGAAAAAAATCAGATTACTAATAATTGGTAATTATTTTTTTATGAAAAGAAAAAGAAAGCAAAAAAGATTAACATCATATACATTAAAGTGTGATTGGTGGTTAGTTTTCTTTAGTGGGATTTGGGATACTTTTTTTCACCCTTTATCCCTTTTTATATTGATTACTTGTTACTATGAAAATAAAAATGGTTATTACCATTTTGAAACATGACATTTTTATTACTTTGAAATAGCGAGTCACAGATTTGAAAAATAAGAGGATTTCATTCTTTAACAGATATTAGTTCTTTATTATGCTAGTAAACTCAGCCTCAGTCTAATAAGCTAAACTCAAAGGGAGGGTAAGTAGGACTCATGAGGCAGAAGAAAATGAAGCTTACAAAAACCCAGAGTCTGCAGAAATAATAGATCTTTATAAAAGGGATGTAGAGAAAAGAGGGAATTAAACTTCACTTGATTTAACTGCTGCGTTGAATCATTGGCTTGTCAGGGGAAAACCTGGACAGCCGACTGTTCTTGAATCAGGTAGAAAATCAAGAGAATGCCAAACAGTGCTGGGCAAATGGACGGGACGAGCCACCCTCTAGCAGTTTCTGAAGGGACTCGCAGCTCCTTGTTCTTGAATTCGTGGAACAGGATCTGGGCCAACTCCTTCCCTTTCTGACTAGCCCAAAATGAATTTCTTATGCAAAATCTTGACCAGTTCCAGCACACCCAGTGCTCAAGGTTGTCAGCCAGCTGTTGGAAGCTCACGCTTACTAATGTTCTTTTCTCTTAAATGGAGCAAAAATATGTTGTTTTACATACACAGGGAACAATGAATGGAAGGACCTAATTTGCATATATCCTCAACCTTCTAAAATTAGCCTTAGGACCTGGTCAGTCTATTTACCTATTCATTCTGCAGGACTAACCTGTTGAAAAGGGAAGGTGTCTGAGGGAAAACTGCCCTCTTCAATGATGATGTGTAATGGGAATTCCCCAGACAATTCTGGTGGAAAGGATAGGACTTGAATATTAATGAAGAACCTCTCTCCTTTTTGACTCCATCACTAGTTGGCAAAACTCTCTAAAAGCCCTGGGGGCTTCTGAAGGGGATATCTGGGGAAGGGAGCAGGGGCCTGCTCACTATGGGGACAAGCTGGCAGGACCACCGTGCTCTTAAGGGAAAGTTAAGACCCAAGACTGCTGTTCTTTGACTAGTTCCTTAAAATATTCTCTTTTTTAAAAAAACAAAACATGCTTTATTTATTTATTGTTTAAATATATGTTTTTAATTGATTTTAGAGAGGAAGGGAGAGGGGGAGAGAGATATATATAGAAACATCAATGATGAGAGAGAATCACTGATTGGCTGCCTCCTACATACTCTCTTCTGGGGATTAAGCCTACAACCCAGGCATGTGCCCTGAGCAGGAACTGAACTGTGATGTCCTGGTTCATAGGTTGATGCTTAACTACTGAGCCACACCAGTTGGGTGGAATATTATTTTTTTATTCTTAAGCTCTCATTTGAGTGATCAAAGAGACATTTCCCTGTATAAATTTGTATTAAATTAACATATAAGCCAATTTAGGAGCTGGATCTTAGTAGGTTGATTTTTATTTTACTTAGTGGAGAAACTTTCAAGTTCCAATGGAAACTGTAGTTTTCTGCATATATTTTAAAAAATAAAATCCATTCTAAAAAAGATATATTTTAAAAAGTAGAACATTTGGAGACATGTATTATCCTCATTCTCTACCATCCAGTCTTAATAGGTAGTAGTGTATTCTAGTGGTTAATTAAAGTCAGAAGCACTGTTTCTTTATCCACACGGTAATATCTGCTCCACTGGGTTGCTGTAAAGATGAAATGAAATAATGTTTGGAAGTACACAGGGCTAGCTTAGCACAGAACTGTTAACAGAGGCCAGCAGTAAGTACCACTAGCACCTGGGGCATAATCCACTTAGCAAGCATCTCCAAAGAATCTTTAGCTATTTAGAAAGGTTGGCATCAGAAACTTGAAAACTTCAAAATATTCTGTCCTTCTAGAAACACTACTGTTTGCTGTGTTATGGGGTAAATTTCCCCACACCAACCCCTGGTCCATTCAGGTACTACCCTGGGGCTGGGTTTTTCCCTTAATCGCTCCCACCTTCTGAGGGTCAAGCTTTATAAGTTCTTAACCACTCCTCAGCTTGCTCACGTTGCATCTGGAAGGAGAAAGTTATGGAGACCCTATTGACAAAGGGGCCGTCCACAGGGGGCAGTTCAGGTGGGCTCAGCAACTTCTCACATCATGGGGGTCATCTGGGGAGGTATATGGGAACGTGACAGGGGAGGGCCCTGCCCAGCTCAGAGAAAAACAAGTGAGAGGAAAAGGTAACTGTGCTCTTGGCTTGAGCCAACCAGGCCCCCAACAGGCCTCCTGGTCACTGGTCACCTGCAGATCTTTGTCTGAGGAAATCTCTCTGATCTGCCTGGAGTGGAAATAAAAAATCTGGAAATAACCTTTCCTGTCTCTCAGCCTTCCAGTCATAACAACTCTGATTTTTCTGCAGGCAAAGTAGATATGTCTGCCCACTGGGGGAAAGGTCAGGAAGTGCTGGAAAGCAAGGAAACACAATGATTAATATTTCAAGATCTTATCTTCCACACTTGCAATGAAAGGCTTTTCTTAATTCTGTGTAGTTGTTGGAAATGCAAGGAAAATAGAGATAATTGGGGGGGGGGGGGATGTTGTGCATTCCTAGGAATTTCTCTGGATGGAAGATATCACATTAGAAAGCCAAAGAGCTCCTGAGGCCCCGAGGTGGGTGGAGGGAGAGAAGTGGTCACAGAGCACTCTTGCTCTCTTCGTGTACTCAGTGTCCCCGGCATTATTTCACGCTCTGCTCTTTTGCTTCCCTTCTTCTTCCTCCCCAAATCCTGAAGAACCAGGAAATCTCAAAGGCGGAGACAGGATCTGTTTTAAGCAAGACTATGTTTATTAGCAGACTCCATAGCTTTCTCTTTCCAGATGCAGGGTGAGCAAGCTGAGGAGTGGTTAAGAACCGCTATACTTTAAGACTGGGCCTGTCTCCACATTTTCTCCCTGATTCACAGATTAAAGTGGAATTTTCCAGGAAGGCTTGATCTGGGAGGAATCCTTCTCTTGGGTCTACAAGGTCTCTTTATGCAGTAGGAAAATCCCACCCTGTGAGCATCTGTGGGCAGTCCACTAACCGTCAGACCTAAATTAAAGAGAGCAATGGCATCCCAGCAGAAAGCACCCTGATGGCAATGTGGTTTTCACACTGTGACAAAAGTCTCAGGCTTTTTTTTTTTTTTTTTTTTTGATAAAGTGTATAGAGGAACTTGACTTCTCCATTTTTATTAAATAATAATATTATTACTATCAAAAGAATTTTGGAGTATGATTTTTTTCTCAGCAAGTCACTTAACCTCTTTTTTAAAATTTAAATGTTGTTTTTCAATTAAAGTTTTCATATAATATTATTTTATATTAATTTCAGGTGTATACATAGCTTTTAGACAATCATTTACTCTACAAAGTGTTCCCCCTGATATTTTCAGAACCCACCTGGCACCACACATAATTATTAAAATGTTACTGACTATATTCTCTATGCTGTGTTTTACATCCTTGTGATTATTTTGTGACTTCTAATTGTACATATTCATTTATTTTTGTAAATCCTTACCCAAAGATATTTTTTTATATTGATTTTCAGACAGAATGGAAAGAAGGGAGGAAGGTGGGGTCAGGGGGAGAGAAACATTGACATGAGAGAGACACAGAGATTGGATATCTCCTGCATATGCCCCAACAGGGGCTGGAGATCGAACCCACAACAGAGATACGTGCCCTTAACCAGGATTTGAACTCATGACCCTTCAGTCCATGGGTTGACACTCTAACCACTAAGAAAAACCAGCCAGGGCCAATTTGTACTTCCTAATCCTTTCACCTTTTTCACCCAGTCCCACCCCTCTCCTCTCTGTCAACCATCAGTCTATTATCTGTACTTACAGGTCTGTTTCTACTTTGTTTAGTCCTTTATTTTGTTTTTTAGATTCTACATATAAGTGAAACCACATGGTATTTGTCTTTCTCTGTCTGACATGTTGCACTTAGCATAATATCCTTGAGGTTAATCTATGCTGTTGCAAATAGTAAGATTTCATTCTCTTTTACAGGCAAGTAATATTCCATTGTATATATGTACCACAACGTTTTTATCCACTCATCTATTAATAGGCACTTATGTTGCTTTTGCATCTTGACTATTGTAAATAATGCTGTGATGAACATAGGGGTGCATATGTTTTTTTTTTTTTAAATATTGTTTTGAGTTTTTTTGACTATATACCCATAAAGCATTTTTTTTTTAAGGAACTTCCATACTGTTTTCTATGTCACTTGACCTCTCAGTTTCCCATATAATAAATGAAGGACTGTATAAGTTTTTACATACTTTCTAGCATTTATACTATTCTTTTAAGAAATATTGTCAAGTGGTTAAAAACCTTATGTTGGGTGTTATAGGCATAATTTTTCCAGCTGACTAAATTTTAACTGTTATGGTATTTCTTGTTCATTTCCTAGATAACAGTGAGTGTATCTCTTAAATGTTAGACCTACTTGAATAGCTTTTTGAGTGTCTGACATTTACAAGAAAATCTGAGAGTTTACTCCCCAAAATGCTGCCACAGGAACAAAATACTAAGATAGACTTGAAGATCAGAACCCAGTAATGATGATTGAATTTAATATCTTCATTACTTAGGAATAGAATAGAAAATCTTAAAAGAGAACATGGTGGGGGATGGGGTGGCAGGTATGAGATTTATGAGAACCTTTGAGTAACCAAGACTTTTTAAACTATAGGGAATGAGTGAGCCTGAGCCGGAGATAGCAAGGCATCCTCTTCATTTCCCAGTCACTCCCACAGGGCTATTTCTGTAGACATGCAATCACTATGGTTGGAGAATAAATGGGAGAGAACAGCATGCTTTGATATTTTTGAAGTAAATACTTAAAAACAAACAAACAAGGTTTCTCAAAGGGAGGCCATTATTTATTTTGCTTGACTGTTCTTCCCATTCAGCAAAACTTGTCAAGAGAATCTACTACTGCCCCATTTCTTCAGGTCACTCAGAATCAAAGGCTTGATCTGGGAGGAATCCTTCTCAGATTAGAGGCCAGATTAGAGATAAAACCACAGAGCTCAGTTTGCAGAGGTTTGTGGGCCTCCTCTGTCTGCTATTCTTCCAGTGTGCCTCAGGTGGGCCTAATCACAACATACCAGGTAGAAGGCGGGATGTATGCAGAAAGCACCCAGTCACACATGTCAGCAGACACATCAGTACACCTTGGAAGCAAGATATGCTCCTAGGTCCCATGGAGTTGATGTTGAGGAGAACCTATTGTTTCAGTTAATTTCTCTGAGGCTTTTGGATGCCAGGGAGTCTGCTATTAGTTTTCTTTTTTCTACATATGCATACAAAGATTTCTTTCTTTATCCTGGAGTACCCTAAAGAACAACAACAACTCAATGCCCATTCTTACCTCAGGCTTCCCTTCATTTCAGAATCACGAAAAATAACTTTTTATATTCCGTACTAGGGTTTAACCTGAAGTTGACCTTCATAGTAAAACTTCACCATGTGTTCTTCACACCAATCCACCAATCACTGGTCTTTTGCTAGAATGGGCCTATGGGAATCATTCTATATTGTCCTCATGAAATAGTTTTCTGTCTTTATTGCTAAAACCAAGGCTTGTCTCCCTGCATGGCTTTGATGATTTTCCTACTAATATTGTCAAAGTAAAAGAAAGCTAAGTATTCAGGAAGTTTAATACAATACCATGAAGACTCTTTTAAAGTTTTTGATAGGAGTAATTGGTCGGCGATATCCCAATCATCACCATTATCATTATCTAAAACAGTAAATACCTCTAGATTGTGCAACATAAATTATAATTTGCTTGCAGGACATTTTCAATCTAGCATACAACTATTCACAACTACATTTAGCTAAGCTAAATAAATAAACTAGTATCAAACAATCATAAGAATTAAATGTTGTCATTGAGGCATGGGGTATTGGACTAATGAGATGAACTTCTATCTCTACAGATGTGAGCATCAAATGCAGAGTTTCTTAGATTATGATTACCAAGTAGTTAGAATGTCTTTGAACTTAAACCTCATCTTGAGAGACCACTATAAACATAGCTTGTTATATATGAACTAGAGGCCTGGTGCACAAAATTCGTGCACAGGGGGTGTGTGTGTCCCTCAGCCCAGGCTGCACCCTCTCCAATCTGGGATCCCTCAAGGAATGTCTGACTGCCCGATCCTGGTAGGAACAGGCCTAAATGGGCAGTCAGATATTCCTCTCACAATCCAGGACTGCTGGTTCCCAACTGCTTGTCTGCCTGGCTTCCTGATTGCCCCTAACCACTCCCCTGCCAGCCTGATTGATGCCTAACTGCTGCCCTGCCAGTCCGATTGCTCCTAACTGCCCTCCCCTGCTGGCCTGATCTCCCCCAACTGCTCTTCCTTGTAGGCCCAGGTTCTGCCCAGCTGCCCTTCCCTGCAGGCCCAGTTGCTCCCAACTTCCCTGGTAACCCCCAACTTCCCTCCTTTGCAGGTGTGGTCCCTCCCAACTGCCGTCCCCTGCTGTCCATCTTGTGGCAGCCATCTTGTGTCCACATGGGGGCAGCCATCTTATGTGGAGTGACAGTCGATTTGCATATTACTCTTTTATGAGCTAGGATCTTATAACCACAAATGAAAAACCTATAATCAATACACAAAAAATACAGAAAACAGAACCCAAACAAATATCAAAAGAAAGTCATCAATGTACATGAGAAGACAGCAAGAAAAGAAGATGCAGCACATACCTACAATGGAACTTTATTCAGCCATAAAATAAATGAAATCTTGTAATTTGTGACAAAATGGGTGGACCTAGAGAATATTATATTAAGTGAAAGAAGTCAGACAGAGAAAAACAAATACCATATGATTTCACTTGTATGAAGAGTCAAGAAAGCAAAATTAATGAACAACCAAAAGCAAAACAGAAACAAACTCAAGGACACAGAGAACAAACTGATGGCTGCCAGAGGAAAGGGAAATTGAGGGAATAGGTGAAAAAAGTGAAGGGGATTAATAAATAAAAACTTTTAGTTATAAAGTAATGTACATGATAGAGAATAAATAGTATTATAATAACCATGCCTGGTGACAGATCATTACTAGACTTACTGTGGTGATCACTTTGTAAGGTATATAAATGTATAATTACTATGTTGTACACCTGAAAGTAATATCATATTGTATGTCAACTATAATTAAAAATAAATGAATATCTCCCTCTCCAAACTTAAAGATTACCAAATACAAGCAATGAAAATTTAGTCCCTAAAAAGAAAAATAATGTTCACTGCCAATTTAGAGAGATGACATAAACCCTTCCTATTAAGATTCAAGTTCCAAGGTATTGATTCTGGTCTAATAGTTTTGTCTCTTATGGATCCCATTTTACCCTTAAAATCAGATTGAGGTCCATTAAAACCCGGCTACAATGAGCTGGCATTTTTATTTAATTCCTTCCCATAGGAACAATGTGTGTAAGCAGCCATCTGCATGATTTAAGGCAGGTTATCCTTCCAACAAGCCCACACCTACCTCCTCCAAGAGGACAAGAGCTAAACAGACCCATCTCTTGAAGATCCAGTGAGCATCTTGAAGAAGGTATATGCTATAAGCTTAACTAAGCACATTGCAAAAGGATTTAAACAGGTCAGTGGTTAGAATAGAATTTTCTCCTATTATCAAATGTATGTTTGCTGCCCATTGGTCCTTGGAATTATTGATTGGTTCCTGGGGTCACATGTTGGCATTTATCCCAGGGCTTAACAAGCAACATACAATTCTGTATTCTTTCTCTGCCTGTAGACTTTCTATCACTTGGCATGGAAATCATGTAAAAGAGAAACTCTAACTCACAGGCCAAAAAATCATAGCAAGTTTTTATTTTTTTTAATTAATATTTTAATATCAGGAAGGAAAGAGGAAATTCCTGAATCTAAGTGCCAGAGTCTAAAAAAGTGAATGAGTCTAATTTTAGTGGTTTAATCCAATCATGGGGACTTGAAACTAAGTACTTGTCATAAGAGGCTGAAAAATGAGAGAGAAGCAAAATATTATTTTCCTACATGGAAGACTGAAGGTAAATCTGTTTATTGTAGGAAACATACCTTATTTTCTTCCTCAATCAGATTAATCACCCATCTCTCTCTTCTGTTCTGACAGTGGTTTATCAATTTAAATTTTATTTGAGAGCCCAGGAGCCACCCTTCCTGATATCTGCCAGATGGCTAAAAGGGTATTCATTATACTCTTAATTTTTATTTGATAATCTATTTTGTGTTCATAAATTTCCATGAAATATTTTTATCTTTTCTTGTGTGTGTGATAGCAATGAGGAGATTATCAGATAATTGTATACTAGAGGCCTGGTGCACGAATTCGTGCACAGGTGGGGTCCCTCGGCCTGGCTCGCAATAGGGGTTGATTGGGACACCTTGACCATTCTTGATTAGAGGGGATTGGGGCCTATTGGGGCCAGCCTGCCAGGGAGAGGGGCTGCAAGAGGTTGTCTGTGGGAGTGCACTGACCACTAGGGGGCAGCTCCAGCATTGCGCGTTTGCCCCCTGGTGGTCAGTGCACATCATAGCGATTGGCGGGCCAGTTGTTCATTTGTAATGCTTGCTTAGGCTTTTATAGATAGATAGATAGATAGATAGATAGATAGATAGATAGATAAGGCCATCCAGAAGAGTCTGATGGGGTTTAACACAAGTAGCTACACCTATATATAGGTAAATACCATAAAACAACTGTATTTTCAATTCTTTGCTTCAAGCTAACATGCTCTGTCTGCTTTCTCCCTGTTATGATGAAGGGTTTCTGGGCCTCCTGGGCCAGTGTGGGGTTGGCACCTGAGACCAAACAGTGGCACAGATGATGGAAAGTAAACACAACTTTGGCACAAGGGGAGGTATTTTCAGCATCTGTCAACTCCTTCGTCTGTCTCCTCTTTGCCTCCTTGCACTTGGGATTGACACTGTTGTCTGTTTTCTACCCACAGGGAGGCAAGAGTGCAAAAAGCACTTGAAGGCCCAAAGGGGGTTTTTCTGCAGAGATAGCAGTAATTTTAATGAAGAAGGGGAAGTTTTTGAAATGGGTCAGTTTCCTAAGGACTGCTATTGGCAGCTTGCCTAGAAACTGGTCTTTCCTGCTCCACATCATGGAGCAGCCCCTCCTGGGAAGCAGAACAGAAACAGTAAGACAGAGAGGAAAGGAAGGCCAGGATGGCTGCTGGAGTTCTATCGGAGCCTGGGGACATGGCTCCGCAGTCAGTGAGGTTATTGACTTGACAGTTAATTGGGCACGTTTGTGGTCTTAAAGGACCTGAAGGCCTTAGACTCATTTTTAAGGGGGCAGCTGTCAAACCACAATTACTACCTTGAGAAATGGATAAGAAAAGGAACAGAGTTAGTAAGGAGCACAAATTAGCATACCCATTGGCTTAGGGTTCACAGGAACTGAGCCAGGTGAAGCTAAATGACAGATATCAAGCACCAGGTGTTTGTGTTTGAGATTTTAAAAAAAGTTATTAGTTTTCCTATCTAGCCAGAGATGTTTCTCCAACCTAGCGGTATAATGCAGGCAGGGTTAGGCACATAGGAAGGCTCAGAGAGATGGGAAACTTTAGCAACAGCAGCAGCAGCAACGGTGAAATCAGGTAGCACAGACACTGAAACTATTGCAGGATCGATCGGTGTGAGAAAATCCTACAGCAATGTCATTCTGGAGGCAGGGCGAGTGTGGGTCCCCAGGGGTGAGACCCAAAGGCTAATGCACTGTGTATGATTCCATATGAGCGTCCTTCGGTGTCAGCAACTCTGGCGTTGAACATTTGTGATTGTTTTGTGCGTGTCTGTTTAACGCAACTGTAGCTCCAAGACGGCAAGCACAGTATCTGTCTCACTGCTCTCACTTTGGGAGCCCTCTGCGAGCACCCCTGGAAAAGGCAAAGCACACTGCTTCCTCAGTGCAAATGGTCTCGGAGCCTTCCTGAGTGATCAGGCGGGCGTGGGAGGGGAGATCTGTTTGCAGGCTCTGCTGTGACTCTGGTCTTGTCGATGTTTTTTTTCTTTTCTTTTTTTTTCCTTCTCCTTCAGAGTGACAAATAAGAAAGCTCTGTTCAGGGCTGTTAAAATAGAAAGTCCTTAACTGGGTGTCAGGTCGCTAGGTTCCTGGACAAAGCCTGGCAGTACCTCACCCCTGGATAAAGTTACAGCTGATGACCAACTGACCAGCAAGCTTTGTCCCTGGGTTGTCATGTTACCCAGGCCCACAGAAATGCCATCCAAATAGCACTACCTTGGCAGGAGTGGGTGGGTATCACCTTTTAGGATAAACTTAGTGTGTGAGAGAAAGAGATAGGGAAAGGGGTAGAGGTGAGGAGAGGAAAGAGAGAAAGAGGGAGAGGGGCAGAGGGGAGAGAGGGTAAGGAGAGAGGGAGGGAGGATATAGAAAGGGGGAGAAGGAGGAGAGGGAAGGGAGTGGCTCTGACTATAGGGAATGGATGAGATACACAGAAGTTTTTTTCAGTCCATTACAACTCTAATTTCTGCCTCCTTGGTTTCTGCCATTTCACCTCAAAACGAACTCCTCTTCTTTGGAGATGTAATTGGATGCAGTGCCAGCCCAGCCATGGCTGACTTCGGATCCAGGCTCCACAAGCTCCTTTTGGGAGCTCAGTGACAGTGGAAATGTACTCTTTTGTCTATGTGCTGTTTTGAAAATTGTGTCTTAACGTACTTCTGTGAGCAGAGTGGCAATGGAAGACACCCTCCCGGAAGCTTGTGGCTGCACACGTACAGCAGGGTTGTGTCCCACCATGTGTCAAGATGGGGTTTTTACTGGTATCTTAGGGAACACTATTCCCTTTTATTTCGTCCACTTCTCCCTGATATTTCCCTTTTCCTTTTGTTCTCTCAACAGACCATAATATGGGCTCTGGCTGGTTTGGCTCAGTGGATAGAACATCGGTCTGTGGACCGAAGAGTCCCGGGTTTGATTCTGGTCAAAGGCACCTGCCTCAGTCATGGGGTCGATCCCCACTAGGGGGCATGCAGAGCGGCCATCCATGAGTCTCACTCATCACTGACGTTTCTACCTCTCTCCCTCCCTCTCCCTTCCTCTCTGAAATCAATAAAAATACAAAAACAAAAACACAGACCATAATAAGGCTCAGAAAGCTATGTTATTTATCAAAATTCATTAAGATATTTTTTTCTTTATAAATTTAAAAGTTGAAAGTTATAGCTTATTATTTGGTATGCTTAATATAATATACAATATTTTCCATTCTCCTATGAGTCAATAAAAAACCACAACCTCTAGCTAAATTGAGAGCAAATTTACCGAACTACGTAGTAGGAAGAGTTTGTTGTTTTTGGTTTGTTTTGTTTGTTTTTTTACGTTTCTTGGTATCTTTGCTTTTTGTCCAGCATATTAAAATACTGGTCCTTATGTAAATTCAAGCAACATGTTCAAAGTTCAGACCATGAATTATTTACACGCCTCAGTACCAGTCTCATTAGCCACCCCCTTGCACACTCCTTACGATGACTGAGGTCAGGGTTCCATTGCTGAGCAGGATAGAGCATTCTGGCAACAGAGGGAAGAAAAGTTTTCCCTTTGTGCAAGGGTCCCCCCCCCCCCCCCCCCCCGTTAACACAACAGCTCTAACTGCCATTTAAAAGCTAACATTGTACGTCAGGCAGCATGGTCAGTGTAAGAGCGTGTGCTTTTATTTCCTGCAACAGCTTCGTGGAAATATTTCCCCTAACTTTATAGGTAAGAAGATGAAGCCTCTAAGAAGTTATTTAACTTGCTAAGGTCCATGCAGCTGGAAAATGGCTAAGAATGCATGCTCCCAGAATCCCCTTCTTAGATGGATGTGAATCAATTTGGCTCTTGATCAATAGATCTTAATAACAACTCACTCTCCCCCTCCCAGTTTATAAAGCACTATCACATACATTCTTTCCTCTCATTCACACTTCAGAACAGGCCTGCAGGTAGGTCCTCGTGATCCCACTCCACAGATGAATAAATTGAGGACCAAATTAGTGAAAACGGGACAGCAAGTCCATCCTAGGGACCATTTGTGAATGTCCTCTAGCTAAAGACCAATATGCAATTTCAGAAGAATAAGTTAAGTGAGCAGGCTCTTCTCCAGAGAATTCTGATTGATCAGATATGAACAAAATAAAAATAAATAATTTCCTCAACATTTGGACGAGAGGAGGACAGCAAGGGCAAGGACTGCTGCTTTGACAACCTGGATCAGTGCACAGTAGAGGTGTGTGTGTGTGTGTGTGTGTGTGTGTGTGTGTGTGTTCACCCGTGCACCTGATTTACTTGGCAGCCGAGGATGCCTGCGGAGTGCTGAGGTTTTTCTTATCCAACCAGGACACAGAAAGGGAACGCTCTCAGTGGGTTATAAAGCCCACGCTGGAGTGCGCTGTCTTAGACTGTACCCGACAGAGAAGCCCAAAGGCAATTATATCTCAAGTCAGTGTTCCCCTAAACACGCTCTGTTTAAGGGGCCAGCTTGGACCTCCTTTTAAGGAGCCAGCTTGGACCTTACCAAGAACTGCCAGGCAATTCACATTGCCCACCTGACACACACTGCACACCAGACCCTTCCAATTGTATCCCCAAAGCCTTTACACTCTTTCAACTCAAACGTGCTGCCTGCCGCATTCAAGCTGCATTGTGACAAAATTGATATCTTTTTTCATAACTCAGGACCTGAGGGCTACAGCTCCCTTAGAGAACCGCCTGGCAAAAGCAGTTTTAAAACCCCCTGCCAAAAGCCATTTTAAAACAGATTTCTCTCTCTCTGGCAAAAAGAGAGAAATCTGTTTTAAAATGGCTTTTGCCAGGGGTTTTTCTCTGGGGCTATCCTATCTAATAAAAGCCTAATATGCAAATAGACTGAATGGCAGAATAACCAGTCGCCATGACACACATTGACCACCAAGACGCAGTCGCTCAATGCAGGAACTGCCCCCAGCCTGCAGGCCCAGCCCAGCCAAGGTGGGCACCAATGGGGATCCCCTCCCCTCCCCTGATCGCTCTGTGGGTCACCCCACAGGTTGGCCCTGATCACTAGCCAGGTATTGGGACCCTACCTGTGCACAAGTCTAGTGCACTGGCCCTCTAGTTATCAATAAAGCTGAAGAAAGAGGCCACACCCACCCTAGCCCATGGCACACGTGTGTAATGAGTATTATTACCTTGGGGTGTTATTGATTTCTTTTTGGGTATTACTGATTCTAGGAGACCTCTTCAAATCTCTGGGCCATATGGTTCAGTTCCTCTCTATAATATCATAAGAACTCACTGACATAATAGGAAATATACACAAGTCTGCATTTATGTCCAGAGGTAAAAGGGGTAAGTAATAGTGCTTCTGATCATGCTCAAATGAAATAATTATCTATGTTTACTAACTCTTTCCCAGCATCAGTCCCTTCTCTGTTACACTGTTACACTATACCATTGTTTAGGAGATTGGCTTCTTGCAATGATTCTTGAAGCCAGAGCTATTGTCTGTGCTGCCTCCCCAAATTATTTTTCTGTTGGACACTGCTCGCCCAGGGTTGGAAGAGGAACAGGCCAGGGTGTGTCTTTTCTTGCGTAATTGTTTGTACCGTCTGTGCCAGCACGGCTGCGAGTCAGCTTGTTTGTCACATGTCGCCAAGCCTCACTGGGCAACCACCACGATAATGGCCACTTAATCCAGCCACAGAGGACGCTGGCACCCACGGGGAGCTGAGCGCCGCTCGCTCTTCTGTACGGAGAGGCTCTGCCTGGCACTAGGCAATCACATCCCAAGTCAGTGTTCCCCTAAACACGCTCTGTTTAAAAAGAGGAAAAAAGGCGCCCTCGAAGGGTTAACATCTCGGAACAGTTGGGAAGTTAAGAGAGGTTTTTTTTTTTTCTTCTTCCTAACACATTTTGAGAGTTTAGGAAAACCTAGAAAGGAAATGCCTAAAAAAAAAAGCTAGTTCTTCCCTCTCCGTATTTCCAAATCATTTCGTATCTTTAAAAAAATCTGTGTGCGTAATCTTCAGGGAGGAAGGCGAAGAATATATATATATATGCTGTTGCTGACTTCCTATTTTTAAATATAGTATTTCAATACCTGCAAGTCAAACTTGTTATTTTGAAATTACGTAGCAACGATGCTGAGTTTTAAAATAATGCAATTCGGAGCCCCTTCCCAACCCCCTTTTCAACCTTCCTAAAATGTAAGGCCTTCAGAATCCCAACAGGGGCCAGTGTTTTCTGGAGGCTGAATTAAATTTCGTTACCATTGCCCTATCTGTGTGCAGCAAGTAGAATTCGCTTGACAACGAGATACTATCAACTCATTTTCAGGATGATTGCAACACTTACGTATGAAAGGACTTTCATCACATTTTAAACTATTTTTAACATTTTTGTTTGAAGGCAAACAATTAGTGGACAGATTACAAAGCAGTAGCTCAGCTATTACATAATTTTTATGGATTACTTGAAAGCATCAAAACATCTTTCAAAATTCTGTAATTTCTCACTAACTTACAAGAAGCTTCCTTTCATTTATTTCAAATGGGTGAGATTTTACTGACCATTGGAAAATGGGATACTCCTGGGAGGATTTCCAGATGGGATACATACTTCCTAACTATGAGGGTTAGTCAGATGGCACAGCAGACATAGACCCAGCATTAAAGTTCTCATTTATTTGTAAGTGTTTTTTTCCCCATTTTTATTTTAAAAAATTTTTTTAGCACCTTTAGGCACTGTGTTACATGCTGAAGATAACAGAAAAAATATATATACACATTGCCTAGGCTTGTTCTCAGAGAACTTATAGTCAAATGGGGAATAGAGAAGTTATCATCCAATACATGCTTTGATGGACTGAATTGTGCTCCCCTGAATTTTGTGCTGAAACCCTAACCCCCAAAGTGACTGTATTGAGATAGAGTCTTTAAGGAGTTAATTAAAGATAAATGAGGTTATAAGGGTAGGGCCCTAATCCGATAGGACTGGTTCCCTTATAAGAAGAGACTGCACAGAGAATAGGCCATGTGAAGACACAGCAAGAAGGTAGCTATCTGTAAGCCAAGGAGAGAGGCCTCTACGACGGCACTTTTATATTGGACTTCTAGCCTTCCAGAATTGTGAGGAAAATAAACTTCCGTTGTTTGAGCCTCCCAGTCCACAGTACTCTGCTGCCAGAAGCCAATTCCAGCATGTCAGTAGGGCTGAATCATCTGGAGATGGCTGAGGGCTTTTCCCCAAACCTGAAAAGGATGCATAAATTGATTGCTTAATCCCAGACAGCTGAGGACATTTCAATGTACATGTTATTGCCTCCTCCTGGCCAAACACCTGAACAGCCATAGGCATTTGACAATGCTTCTGTATACAAGCCCTGGCCTTTGAAGTATATCCACTTTGCCTTAGGAAAATTAGTGTTAATAAAAAGCAAGGGGTCCTAAGATAGGAAAACTTAGTTCCTTTATCTAAGTCTTCTCTGGCTCCACATAATGCCTTCCAAAATTATGTTTCATCTCTGGACTCTTATTTAATTTATACACAGCACCTTCTCTATATTCCTGAATCCTTCTAGATGCTGAATCATGAACCCTGGCACTCTGCTACGGCAGTGAAAGCTAACTAATATGATTGGGAAGTGCAAGGTTCTTTGGAGGTATATGGAAGGGGCCTCTCGGCAAAATCTGAAGAAACAGCAGTTGGAGAGGGGTGATGGAGGAGGAGTGTTTTGGTGGAGGTTGCAGTATAGGTGAAGCCACAAGGCAAAGAGAGCATGGCCTGGAGATATGAGACAGAGGGAAAGCAAGTTCAATAATCTGCGGCCTTAGAGGGTGAGGGTGTTGGTTCTGGAACAGATGCAACTCTGCAAATGTATGACTTCTCAGAACAAGACAACACAACCCAACTATTCTTCTCTCTTGAGATCCATTCTTTTCCCTTTGGGCTTCCATAATTCTACATTCTCTTGGTTTTCTCTACTTTGTTGATTACTCTGAGTCCATTTTGGTCTCTTCTTTCCGCTGCTCACCTCTAAATATTAGAGTTTCCTAATATTCAGTACTTGACCCTCTTCTCTACTCTTTTTATACATTCCTCCCAAAGGTGATTTTTATCCAGTTGCATGGCTTTAAATAGACTCTATATGTCTGTGGCCTCCAAATCTCTATCTGCCTT